GCTTGAAACCTACCCGGGACGGAATGCAGGTAAAGATGTCGAGTGCTGCAGTTACCAGGTTACTAGGTAGAAGACTGTTGACAAATATTGTATTTTATTTTACTTTTTGTTTTTTCGGTTTGTTGAGGTTTGTTGGGCTCTTGGAGTTAGAAACACGTCAGCTGTGCGAGCTTTGAACGTGGAAAACGTCGCACCATGGTATGGCATTCAGCTGGAGGTTGGTCCTGCTCCTTGAGTATATTTTTATCTTGAAATTGACCAAGGGAGACAGCCAAGAGTGCTCGGGGGTTGACGTTGAGAAGCTGTCCAACTACGTAAGGAAGTTTGGATGGAGGGTTTGCATCGCGAACATGATAGAAACAGAGAAGGTAGGAGACAAGAGGCGAAGGCGATGGAGACGAAGAAAGGACCAAGCGGGGGAGGCGAGCAGGCAAGTCAGAAGAAGTCCNGTTGTGGTGATGGTTGTGATGGGAATGCAAGTGGTTTGCTTGTTGTTGTTGTTGACGGTCTTTTCCTTACCTTGTACCTCATCTTCCTCACCAACTCGGTATCTGCGATCGTGAAACAGATGTTACGTTCGGATCTGTCCACCTTTCGTGTTCCCTCCCTTAGCGCGGAGGCGGGTCGTTGGCTCTCGTTTGGGATTATAGATGAAAATCCACAAGCGCATTTTTAATTTCATATCTCGCCTCGGTGTTCCTCCTATCGCTCTGTTCACGCTGCTGCTATTGCGTTCTCACGTGAAGAAGCTTGTTGCCACGTAACCTACTTTCTTTCATTGAGTCTTTCAGTAGTCTCGAACTCCGAGACCGAGACTCGGTCCTACGTACGTCTCGCTACAACCGCCGCCATCATTCCACCACCTTTTCGTCCTACAGCATTTTCCGACCACTTTTTTTTTCTTCTGTTCAGTGGTTGGAGTAGACGGCTCAAGTTCTGTGAGCGGAAGTGAAGTAAAAAAAAAAAAAGTGGTACGTACCCCCGTTGTCGGTCATTTGAACGCTTGTCACAACAGTAGTCTTTTGTTTGATCCTTACTCTTCTTCCTCACAACAGGTGAGCTTACCGCTGAAGCCGCCGCCGCAGCCGGACCCTTCAGAGAACTGGCCCTACCTCAGGCTTGCCCTCCGACCACTAGACTCCGCACAGCTCAAGGACACCCTATCCACGCCGGAAGGTGACCTGCAACAAAACTCCTGCTTTTGGCCTTTCTTGCGTTTTCGTTTTTTGTGGCTGTTCTCGTTTGTTGTTGGGGGTGAGGGTAAAACTGTTCCCTTTTTTGTTCTGTTTTTCGTTTAGCGAATTCCTACGAAAGTAAGTCGAAGTATTATGGTTTATTTACACTCTATTTTATTTTATTTTTTCCGTCCCGCCAAGTCATCATGTTGTGCTTGATTTGTTTTGTGTTGTGGACGTTGTCCTTGTTGCTTGTCTGCCTTATTCCTCTTGACCCTTTCGTCTTTAGTGTATGCATAGTTGCCTCATTTGTTTTTGGCAGCTCATGTTTCGTGTTCTGTGCGTCGTCGCAGGGTGGGCACGGCATATTCCCACTTGATTTATTGAACTGCATTCATCAAGAGCGGTTTGATTTACTGTTTCTTGGGCGCCCCTCCCCAAACGCCAAGTCACCCGTTCTGCATATCCCTCTCTCACCATTGTCCTTCTTTTATTGTCATTTCATGCTCCGTGGTTTTTGCCGTGCGGCCCAGGCGGGGCGAGGCCCTTTCTAGCAAACCCCCTGTCTCCGCACGTCGTGATGGTAACGTTCTTCAACGCGGTCGACACGCTGTGCTGCTTGAAACCTACCCGGGACGGAATGCAGGTAAAGATGTCGAGTGCTGCAGTTACCAGGTTACTAGGTAGAAGACTGTTGACAAATATTGTATTTTATTTTACTTTTTGTTTTTTCGGTTTGTTGAGGTTTGTTGGGCTCTTGGAGTTAGAAACACGTCAGCTGTGCGAGCTTTGAACGTGGAAAACGTCGCACCATGGTATGGCATTCAGCTGGAGGTTGGTCCTGCTCCTTGAGTATATTTTTATCTTGAAATTGACCAAGGGAGACAGCCAAGAGTGCTCGGGGGTTGACGTTGAGAAGCTGTCCAACTACGTAAGGAAGTTTGGATGGAGGGTTTGCATCGCGAACATGATAGAAACAGAGAAGGTAGGAGACAAGAGGCGAAGGCGATGGAGACGAAGAAAGGACCAAGCGGGGGAGGCGAGCAGGCAAGTCAGAAGAAGTCCGAGAAGAAGCGGAAGGCGAACGATAGAGTGCGCAAAATCTCCAATAGGGGAAAGCACAAGCTGAGAGTCGGGTCGTGGAATCTGTGCGGGTTCGCAATGAGTGAGTGCAAGGGGTTGGAAATAGTGGACCAAGTAGAACAAAGCGATCTAGATGTAGTGGGCATCCATGACACGTGGGAATTGAAGCATGGTGACGTGGTAAGCAAACTAGGGAAATACCGGTGGGTAGGGAAGGCAAGAAAGGGCTTAGACCCGAAGAAAAGGGGGGAGGGGGAAGTCGGATTCCTGGTCAAGGAACACTTGTTTGACGTGGTGGGAGTTGTGGTGAAAACGGAGTTCGAAGAAAGCCTATGGCTTAAGATACCTGGGGAGCGGGGTGAGAA